ATTCTCCTCTCTGTGGGGTGGGGTTGGGGGGGGTTGGCCTCGGGATAATCAATCATGCTTCTTGGCAGCGCTGTCAATCAGCAACTCTCCTGAGTGGCATCTACTGGCAGTTCTCAGCGTGCTGGCGCTTTCCTCCTCCCTTTCCTCTTTCGGGTTCATGGTAATACAGACTTTTGAGCCTGCTGTTTTTTCATCATAGAGTGGAATTTTTTCATTTTTCTCTGCTTGTGTTTATTCTTCCCCCTCTGCTTTATCCTTTCAAAACTATCACAGAAAATACAGTATTCAACATGAATCCCCCAGAGGGCTTCAGTAGAGATTATTGTGGTTGTGGTTTCAATATAGATTATCCTGTGTTTCATTTCTTTTCTTTCTCCTTACCTTTAGACACCCTCAAACTACACCTTGCCAATCCTACTACAACCCAAAAATATCTGTGTTTTATCTTTTTGTATATTTATAACCATACAATTGACTTCTCCTCAGTGTCCAGAAAGCTTTAATTATCATCAGGAGATTGAATTGTTCTCCCCAACAGAATGGGTCCCAAATTTATCACTAAATTTTATTTGCAAGGAGTCTCATATGCTGAATTTTTCAAGACTACCTCAATCTCAAATAATCTTAACCTCAGACCAAATGCTAAGGTTTGGTTTGGAAAACCAAGTGGTAAAACACTTATAGGTGATTATTTTAAGTAATTATGGTATTGACAACTTTCTCCTTTGCATATTCAGAAAGCCATCAGCACTAGAAAATACCTACAGTAGAACCTCTCTAAGTTGACCACCCACTGGATTGTAACAAATGGGTCAATACACAGAGGTGGTCAACATAAGGAACTAGACCTTCTGTACTAGTGGCCTAGGGGTGCATATCCAGCCCTTGAAAGTTAGGTCAACTTAAGAAGGTGGTCAGTGTAGAGAGCTGGTCAACTATGGACATTCTATTATATTTCAATTAAAAATTGCATCTTCATTTTCTATAAACCAAAGGAAATCTCACCTTGCTGCATGGCAACCTAGGGACAACAGCCCAGGCCCATTTGGAATTTGTTAGTGTCTGCGGCCCCTTCCCCACTGGCACAACAGCAGGCTCACAAGTCCAAAAGTGAGCTTGCAAGAACACGTTTGCACATGTTCACACACACCCCCCCAGCCCTCATCCATCCTCAAACCCACACTCAGCCTTCAGCCGTGACAGCATAAGTAGTGTTGGAGAAGGATCCTTTGCTCTCTGCTTTCTACACTTGCTGGGTTTGTGTTTTTCTGGCATCTTCTTCACTTCATCCATTCACAAGAAGTGCCCACAGCAACTGGTGATCTGCTATCCATATTTTCACAGCTACACACACATGCACACACACACACATATGCAAATGGGAATAAGATTCCTTTTAATGAAATCTCTCCATAAAGAGCTATGTTGGCCAGCATGAAAAGCATCCACAGATGCCACAGTCCTTCAGTGAGAAACTCAAGTTTCTTCCAAGGATGACTTGAAGGGACATTTCAGCCACATTATTAAGATCGTGGCAGAAACAATGGAATTAGCATCACTAAAGAAGAAAACCACAGTTCAACTGAAAATGGGAGATCAGCCTACAGGAAAGGTGGAGGAGCTGTCAGAATGAGGGGCTCATCACTGGTCACGTGCCAGGCACTGTACTGGGCACAGCCATGCAGTCTCTTTGCTAACCCTCATTACACCCTGTGAGATGGGCCCTGTTTGTAGACACACTTCACAGATGAAGAAGCAAAGGCACAGGAGGCTGAGCTCCCAGTCAGGAAGCAGCAGGGCCGGTCCTGGGACAGGGTCGTCTGAGTCCAGGGCAAGGTTTCTGGGCCCTCTGTTATTCTGCCTGGTCAGTGTGCGCTCAGCACTGTCCGGGGAGAGGGTTATGATATGCTGGATTCCAAACTGTCTTAGGTCAACATCCTCAGTCTGACTCCACATCCATCAAGTAACCTTCAGGTTATAATTTGGCGTCCTCTGCTATCATGACAGCAGGGGGTTCTGTGAGAGTTGTTTCTGACGGCAGAATGATGAGGCGGCCATTCCCGGCCTTCCTTTGCCTGTGAAACACTCAGTTACCAAGAGCCAGCCCCCTCCAGCACTGATTTTCAGCTAATGTGCCCTGAGAGGATGTTAAGTGTGCCACAAAAATTTTTAAAGATTAATTACTTTTGAAACAAGTTTCAAAGCAGAGTAAGTATATTCTTTTTTTTTACTCTTTTTGTTTTATCTACATAATTTAAGTTCAACTATAGGTTCAAGTGTGTCATGAGATAAAAAAGGTTGAAAACCACTACTCTTGGGGCTGAGAATCTCCAGCCCTCCAAACTGAAACCAAACCCCGGAATGGCCTGGCTCCTTCATATCAGACCCCCACCAGTCCTAACCTCCACTTTTTACTTTTTTCCCCATATCATGACACCTTAATTTCACTCCTTAGCTATGCATAGGTGGCAAATGCCGACTCCTGTTAACATCCTGAGAACCTCGCCCTCCACCGTTTGACTATATGCTCTTTCCCTTTCCTTCCATATAAATGTTTTCTTCAAATCAAGGACTCTGCGTTACCAAGCCCCTTGAACCTGGATGCCACCTACGGGCCCATTCTAGCAGTGGCACCACAGCGCCAGCTTGCCCCTGTCCAGTGTCTGGACTCTACCAATAAGACACAAGTAACGTTTGAGCTGGCCCTTAGTCATCACGCTAACGCAAGTTTATGTCAAAATCATGCATGTGAGTGCATGTGCGTGTCCTGTGGTCCAAAGGTCACACATAAAGTTGCCATACAAGTATATACGGAAACTGGGAAATTGTAGCTAAATTTACCCTAATTTACAACATATTCATAACAAAATTTTACAAAATATTTCCAAAATACTATCTATGTGCTAGCTACATCTTTGTAGAATTTTGTAATGAGACTGGCGCCTGTGGCTCAATGGTTAGAGTGCCAGCCCCGAGCAGCGGGACTGGCAGGTTTGAACTCGGCCTGGACCTGCTAAACAACAGCAACAACAACAAAAAATTTTATAATAAATATGTTTTAAATAAAGGTACATTCAGCCACAATTTCCCACTTTCCCTAGGTATGTTACCTGAGGGGCAACTTTCAGGACACCCCCTATATGTGGCACATACACACATACATATTACACACAGCATCTACGTACAAAACGCATCATTAGCTCTCTCCTATATCTAAGAGGAAAGGCTCTGCCAGGCACAGACTTCTACCATGTCCTAGACAAGTTGTCCCCAAAGGACTGCCCTGACCACACCCCCTCTGAGGGGCCTGAGTCCAGTTATCAGGGCCTGACATGAAAAGTGAGTTCAGACCATCAGAGTCCTCTCTTGGCAATTTAACTGGGAAACACAGGGAGACAGAGCTAGTGAGTAAAGGCGCTGAGGGTAAAAGGGGCTGCGAGGTTGGGCTCAGGCCAGGGCAAGCCACGTGCACACAGAAGTCATGAGGGTCAGATAATCAAGGAGGGGAGGAAGAAGCCACTTAGAACAGGGAAGGTGAGAATAAAGCAGACACGTATGGGAAAGCGCGACCTACACAGTCCTGGTTTCTAAGAACATGGTCTTCATAATGGCAGAGAAAGGAAGCCGGGTGCCTGGGGCTTGGGAGGATAAAGGGACCAGTGCTAAAGTGACACAGGAAGCCAGAGATGAGGACCAGTTGACCCGGTGAAAGCTGGGTGAAGAATCCTCACACTCGGCCCTAAGCACCTGTGTCTCATACGCCTTAAAAAAAAAAAAGGAAAGGAGGGAGGAAGAGAATGAAGGAGAGGGAGAAAAGGGACAGAGAGAAAAAGAAAGAAAGAGAGAGAGATAGAGAGAAAGGAAGGAAAAGGAAGGAAGAAAAGTCAGCAAGCAGGCCGACTCTGATGCTTTCTACAACACACGGGATGTCCTCATATACATACACATGTGTATACATGTATATGTATTGTTTTACCAATAACAAATTTGCCTCTCAGGATACTTGAGTGTCTTACCTAGTTTCAATGTGAGTTAAAAAGAATCTTTCCCCTCATTCTATTTTGTTTGGATTTACATTCTGTTCTGATGACAAGTTTTGTGTCGGGGGTGTCCAACTGGCAACCTGCAGGCCACATGCAAATTATGGGAGGACTTTTTGCTTACTTGTGGTGGCAGATTTCACAAAATTATGTACAAACCTTCTGTTGTTATTCACCAGCTTTCATCAGTGTTTGCATATTTTATGTGTGGCCCAAGGCAACTCTTCTTCTTCCCATGTGGCACAGAGAAGCCAAAAGGTTGGACACCCCCGCTCCTGCTCATGTGCAGACAAAGGAAGGGGAGCACCGAGGGCGTCTCTAAGTCACACTAGTGTGGGCAGAACAAGCAGCGGCCTGGCGTGCACGGTGTCTGCCTAGACACCCTGCATCACTCCAGTCACAAACGTCATAGACAGTCCTCACCCCAGAAAGTGAGATTCTCCACTTTCAATCCCACCCTGACCAGGGGCTGCATATGAAACTTTTCCATAACACTTCCAGTTTACAGGAAGTTTTCCTGTCCATGGAAAGCAAACTCATGTCTTTTCTATAATAGCTGCTTCAACAAGCCCTCTGACCAGTCTTGCTGAATCCTTTACCTTCATTAAAGAAGCTAGATGTTGAAAGGGCTTACTGAAAAGTCGTGTCAAAAATAAAATTCAGACACAGTTTCCAGGCCCTGCAGACCATACCACATGGTTCCTTGCCTTAGCAGAGTTGAGGACACAATGGTATCAATGCAGCATTTGGCATGTGATCCATAGGGCTTGTTATTTTACAATTACCCCCAGATGCCAGACATCCGTGTTGGCATTTAAAGCCTATAGAGTTGGTTAAGTGGTTAAAATCGTTCACATCTGCTTCTTGCAAAAGGTAAAGAGAAGAGGTGACAGGTCCGTTTGACACAGCGTGTGTTTCCCCAACTAGCCAGTGCCAGGAAAGAGTGATGCAGGTACTTACTATTTATAACTCATGGCCACATCCACAAAATACTTTCTTCTCTGCCGATAGACATTGTCCTTAAATCCCTTAAACACAAAAGAGATGACGTTATCTTACAGTGCTGGGAAAATTAGCTATAGAAAGGCTAAAAGAAAATCACTGAGGTGTTTATTGAGTGTTCCCAAATCTCACGCAAACGTGAATTTTATCCTTTGATGATCATCTTGGTGACACAGCCAGAAGCAAATTGCTCTTACAGTAAAACCTCCTTAAACTGGGGTTATACTGATTCAGGATGTGTGGGAATCCAGGCTGAAGTTCACCTTTCCACCACGTAAGTAGAATGGCTTAGTTAAACACATTGATATTTTGAACCATATCTTTTGGTTTTCAAGTTTAACTTGCATGTAATTGATCTTAATCACAAGTTAATATTGATGTATTTATTAAAATGGACTCTTTTAATATGTTCAGTAAGTTAAGGTAATTTTACTTGTTTGTATAAATAACTAATAAATCTAACATTTATGAAAAATTCTGACCAGGAGCAGTGGATGATGCCTATAACCCCTAGCACTTTGGGAGCCTGGAGTGGGACCATCAGTTGAGCTCAATTGAGCTCCCAGGAGTTCAAGATCAAGACTAGACAATAGTAAGACCCCCCCACCATCTCTACTACTACTAATAATAATATATAAGATTAAAAAAATTCTATCACTCCGAATAATCATCACAATCCAAAATTAGTATAAATTAAAGAGGTTTTGCTGTATTTTATGATTACTAGTCACAGAATGCAAAATTGATTTTAAGAGATTATGCACAAAATAGCAGCTTAGCACCAAGCCATTCCAAGTAATTCCTGTAATTCAAATCATTCTTAGCCAACTTCATGATTTCACCTCACCATCCACTTGGGAAATTAAACATCATGTCTGTGAGTTTTCAGTCACAGGGAATCCTGCTGAGAGGACTTTCTGCTTTATTCAAAAATCTCTCCTCTCCTCAACAGACTTTGCATTTTCCTTTCCTTTAGATTCCTTCAGACAATCAATTCCTTCCAGGGTTGTTTTCCTCAAGCTGCTGGAAGCCCAGAAGAAACTGTTTTCAATTTAGCTTCTCCCCTGTACGCCTGCCCCCCAGGATGACCAGGAAGCAGAGCGGGGCCCACTGAACCCGGCCGGCAGGAGAGGAGCCACCGGGCCACAGGGCTGAGGGGAAAGGTCAGTGAGGGCCCACAGAGATCTCTGCTGCACCTGAGACTTTTCTGGAAGGTGGGCTGTTCGAGAGGAACCTCAAACTCGCCAGAAAATCACCCCATTCTCTTGTCTGGCTGGCAGAGAACGGCGTGCCAGCTGGGCAGAAATGAAGCCTCCCCTCTGGAGGCAGCTTTCCTTCAGGAGTGACAGACAGTTACTAACGGTGAGGGGTCGGGGAGAAATACTGAGACCAACTGAACATCCCGCGGAAACCAAGTAGCCTTGGACCCTGAACCTAGCACTTTCTTTCTTACACTGCCAATTGGGAGTTTTTTAACTGGCTTTGAAGTTTGACACAATTTGGTGACCAGAGTTACCCATTTCACAAATCAGCTTGTGACCTGACAAGGGGTCCCTTGCTATAGAGGTTAAACAATAGTCATAAAAGAAGGTACATGTTCCAACACTCACTGGTAAAATCAGGCTGTCTGAGATGGCAAAACTGAAGAGCGCCAAACACCTTTATTATTCAGCAAGAAAGCAGGACACAACAAAAGGGAGAGCGCCCCGTGAAAAGCACAGCATCTGCTCTGGTTCCGCCAGCCCGGACACCAGGGTAACAGCACCGTGATCCTCCCGAAGAGTCTCAGCTCGCTCCTCAGCAGACACCCGCACCTCTCCACAGTTGCGAGAGAGCGACCTGCTCATCACGCCTCATTAGCTTGGTGTGGCCGTGATCACGCAGATGCTGTGGGCCAGCCAGCGCCGCCAGGCCTGGCAAAGTGAGACAGGGATGCAATAGCAACGGCAGAGAAACGGCGTTCCCTGGGCCTGTCCTTCTGCCCTGAGACTGGGCAGCAGGTTACCAGTTAAATCTGAATTTCTGATCAACAGGGGGGAAAAAAACATTTTTAGTATAAGTATGTCCCATGCAAAACCTTGGGACATACTAACACTGAAAGTCATTTATTGCTTAGTGGAAAGTCAAATATAACTGGGCAGTCTATATATTTATTTGCTAAATTAGCAACTGTAGGTAGCAGCCACAGAGCACAAACCCACCTTTCCCCCCACCCCCAATTTAAATCAAAAGAAACTGAAGGGCTCAGCTAAATTTACACAGACACTCAAGTAGCTATTCCAAATAGCATGGCCCTGGTGGAATATTGGAATCACCTGGGGACCTTTACTACCCATCCAATCTGGCCACATGCCCAGAGGTTCTGATTCGAGCTCTCCGTGGTGAGGCCCCAGCATAAGAATTGCTTTTTAATTCTACACAGGTGATTTGAATGAGAAACTAGGCCTGAGAATCACCAAGGGAGAACATTAGTTCCCGAGCTTTAGAGCTCATCAGAATCTCCTGCAGATCCCTTCAAATGCCAATTCTTGGTTCCATCACTTGAAGTTCTGATTCAGTGGGCCTCAGATGAGCCTCAAGATAAGACATTTTTACTAATAACAAGCACCCACCTTATCAGTGGACCTTGGCCCACACTTTGAAATGCGCTCCCAGGCTAGATGCTAACTACTCAAAGTGTGATCACCAGCCCCTCCCCTGTTGTAAGCGCCAACTGGAAGTGTACTGGCAATGCAGAACCCCCAGTCCTACAGAATCATCTGCATTCTTTATTTTTTTTGAGACAGAGTCTCACTTTGTCACCCTGGGTTGAGTGCCATGGTGTCATAGTTCACAGCAACCTCAGACTCTTAGGCTCAAGCATTCTCTTGCCTCAGCCTCCCAAGTAGCTGGGACTACAGGGGCCCACCACAATGCCCGGGCTATTTTTAGAGATGGGGGTGGGGTTCTCAGTCTGGCTCAGACTGGTCTCGAACTCATGAGCTCAGGCAATCCACCCTTGTGGGTGTCCCAGAGTGCTGGGATTACAGGGGAGGGCCTCATTATCTGCTTTTTTAAAAGATTTCAAAGGTGGTTTGTTGTTCCACTAAAGTTTAAGAGGCACTGGTTAGATTAAATTCTAAGACACTTCTGAACTATCAAAAAGGGTTCCTGGGTCTGTCTCCGAATTGGGATTATTCCCAGGCATAAAAGTGCTTGAACAACTTTTTCCCCATACTTATCAAATAATAACTTACAAAACACCAATTTACCAATATCAAATTTTGCATACTGAACATTTGGTATGCTTAGGAAAGAAGTACATGTGGTTTAAAAATGACAAGAGGGGATTGTTAAGTACTTGCAATGATTTCAAGTGGCTGTGCAGAAAATAAGAGATAGTATCATGAGGGGGTATAATCAGGAGTAATGGAATAAAACCAAGCCCAGGAAAATCCACGCTTGCTGGAATAAACTTTGTCTCTGCAAGATCAGTGGTTCTTGTGATTGTTCCATTAAAATGGCTGAACTCCTTTCTCCAGGCTGAGTAATTTTCAAACTAGACTAAGGGGAGATTAGGGTATCTGAGGTTATCAAAAAATCTCTTACTATCCAGGCACTGATCTGGATGATTTAATACAGCATTTCCATTACTGGAATTAAGCATTTATTCTGGCCAAAATGCCTTCCAGTTGTTTTATTACCTAGGCTTTTCAAACACTCCTTTGAGGCCAATAGCAATTTTATCTCTACCTTTCCATAAAAAACGTGAGATGTGGGCAGTAGAGGGACTTAACCAAGGTCATTCTGCAAGTTAAGGGCTGGTGTCAGTGCAGTCCTGGTGCTACCAAGCTCTTACATCAGGCTTCTGGGTCAGTTCTGACTTCTCTGAGGCTGGGAAAAGGAGACGAGAACAATGGATGATTATTAAAAGCATTTTTCAACATTTCTCTAATGTTTGAGGAGACTTTCGTGTGAGTTACTAGAAACTATTCTGAAATTTAGGCTATCCTGGCAAATGTAACACATTGTCTTTGAGTGAATTCACCTTTTTGAAAATAATGTGGTGAATGACATCTGTTCAACCATTTGTTTGAATGGTATATTTGAATTGGTCTGAATGGGTATATTATGCCAAATTACTGGTTCCATTGAAAATTCTCCTGGTGTTAAAGTTATCATACTTTCCTTTAAAACAAGTGTTCTCAAATGGAAGTGTGGGCTTGTTCAAATAAGTCCCCAGATGATACTGAGGCTGCGAATCCGGGTGACACCTGGAGAGCCGCACACACAGCACAGTCCCGTGTCAGGTTCCCAGATTCCCTACGTTTCAACAGGAAGAATACCTGTAAACTATTCCCCGCAGACCACAGAGGCTCCCTGTAAGCATTACTGGTCTGTGCCGGTTTAACTCTTTTGTCCAGCCCTTTTCAGACAAGGGGCCCCTGAGGAGGGAAGGAACGTCTGTAATGGATGGTGCACTGCTCACCTCTCCCAGGCTATTAGTGTGCTTCACTCGGACCATAAAGAAGTTCCAGGTCTCATGTGTTACATAAAAACTGATGTAAAGGGGAGAAGGGGAGAATAGAGGGAAGTGCTTACCCAAGTATCACATTTCTTTGAAGATGGTCGTTTCTATTGGAGTGGAGGAGAGAATGTGGTAGGCAGATTCAGGGTAGACGTGGGAAGAGGTACATCTTCCCTCACAGCCTTATTCTAAAACCCCTGCCTTTCCATGGAGACTGAAGTCAACCACATTACTCTGCTCCTAACTACCTCGAGTCAAGGAAAATAGTAGGAAGGATTTTATTGTCTCACCGAGCCCCATAATGCCTAGTCCTCCCTACTTTCCCAAAGGTGTGATCAATTTCAGTTCATCCTTTTCCAAGGGTCACCATCTGCAAGTATATTTCAGGCTGTCTAATTCCACAGAAATATTCTCCAAGGTTTAAAATCTCCTCCTCTAGCCAACCCTTTTAGAAATAAGTGCTATGTGAAAATGCCATCCCTCTAACCTGCTCCTAGTCAGCACACGTGTACAGGAAAGCTTTGTCACAGGGAAGTCTGCTCTCTGCGAGGGGCAATAAATAGTGAACTGTTCTACAGTGAAGCATGACAGCGCAGACACAGCACATGGCCCGCACACGAGCAGAGCTGGGACAGCAAGTGCGGAATGGATGTTACTGGACACTTACTGGGTGGTCGGCATCAAGCTCAGAACCATACATGAGAACTCTGTGAGAGCATCTGTCTAACTCAGAGATCTTCCGGGGGAACCAGGGCACATCCTCCAGCTCTGTTGAAACAGATAGATTAGTTCACAGATAGCATTTTCACTCTTCCAACATTTGTCAGATTGTAAAATCACCCGACAAAGACCACCCTTACCTTCTTCCTCTGTCCAAATGGTCTCCGGCGGATTCAGAGTCACAATTGTGGTTTGAAATTTCAGCAACTGAATGAGCTCAGTGAATTCTGTTTTGCCGCACTCACAATCCACGAAGATTTCGACCTCAGAACTCCTTCGTCTGGATCTCCTAGACTCAATATGAACCATGTTGACGTGTTTCTCCTGTGGAAACATAAGCAACATCCCTAAATCACCTCCAGGGCACAATGAAAGGAATGCCGCTGGCTTTTCTTGTTCAACTCGTAAGCAAAAGGATACCCAGTGCCCACAAAAGAGGGAAAGGTTTCCTTGCTCTTTGATGGCCTAACATGCGGAAATGTTGTCAACAATGTCTCTAATAATAGGAATGCTATATAGTTATATTTCTCTGTGTAGGTTGTACTATCTCATTCTAAAGAGAGACAGTATTTAAGACATATAAAAGGGCCCTATAAAACACATTATAATTATGGACATCATCATTTCTCAGAGTGAGCTACATCCCTCAGGTGATGACAATGAGTTTGCGAAAAAGTTTATTTACTATATTAGAGTATAATGTCCAGATTTATGGTCTCGTTTTGTTTCTGAAAAACATAACAAAACTCAAGCCCCTGATATAAACTCTCCTTTTCAAATAAACTGAAATTTAAAAGTAATCTTTTAAAAGTAAGTACAGATGGGCAGGGCGCCGGCCACATAAACCTAGGGTGGTGGGTTCAAACCCAGCCCAGGCCACCTAAAACAATGACAACTGCAACAACAACAACAACACAAATACTGGGCGTTGTGGCAGGCACCTGTAGTCCCAGCTACTTGGGAGGCCAAGGTGGGAGAATCACTAGAGCCCAGGAGTTCAAGGTCATCCTGGGCAACAGAGCAATACCCTGTCTCTAAAACAGTAAGTAAGTAAACAGTACAAATGGTAGGTAGAAATTGGGGAGGTGGTATAAAAATTGACCGAAAACTATCGCCTACATTATAGGGAAAAAAAGGAAGCAAGTCAAGAGAGAATCTCTAAAGACAAAAGGAAAACAAAGGACTTCCTCAGGGGACAGTAAGGAGGGGAGAAAGGTAAATAAAAGCACAGCACTCTTAGTAATTGTTCCCTTTTGACAATTCTGGGCCAGCTTCTTCCTCTGACGTGTTGCTGCCACTATGGTTCTATAACAAGTCTCAGAGGTAAAACATCTTACAGTAAGGAGCACAAAGCAGGGCGGTAATTTAATATTTAAAAATCAGTTTGAATTTCCCCAGCAGTGTACTCTTTCTCCGTACTTAACTGAAGACTAAGTTCTCCTCTCCACCCCAACCCACCCCCATGACTGCACACACCCACCATCCCGGTTGGTGCACTCTGATACCAGCACAATTGCTCTGATACAATCCTGGGTGATCTCAGAATTTTCAGCATAGAAACAGGATAGGTAGTTTCCAGTGTCAGAATGGGATTAAATGAACCGGCATTCTCTTCTACATAAAGAAACTAGTCCTATGAGTAGGAAACAAAATGTTCTATTTCTGTTTTTATTAACCTTTACAATAATGCCATATTTTCTAAGTTGGCTGACAATAATGGTAAGATTAATCTTAAGTTCAAGGTGTAAGAGACTGCACATACATTCTATCACTTCTTTGGTTGAAGCAGAGTTGATGTTTTAGGGGAACTGAGGCCCACATGGATTAAGTGGTTTAGGGAAGGCCTCGTGACTGGCTGATGGCAGAGTGAAAATTCAGGGCTGCGAACTCCTTCTCCAGGGATTTTTTCCACTGCACCCAGATGTCTAATTGGACTGGCCTGCCTTTGGCACTGTATGGATACAGCCTTAGACATAATTATGTGTAAAATATTTCCCCAGATTTCCATTACCACTGTTTATGGTGCCTGATCCTTTTTTCAAGGTCAAAAGAGAACGAGGAAATATCTGCCAAATCAGGCTGCTAATTCCTCTCTATGATCATCACAGAGGCATCATAATAAAGCCTCAGATCTGTGAGCTTTGCAAAGTGCTTTCCTGAACGTTATTTCATCCCAACAATCCTGTTAGGTAGGAATTATTATTACTATTTTACAAATGAAGAAATTAAACCTAGGAAGCAGCTAGTGATTAGCCAAGCCAATTGCCCTCTGAATCCCCTGACTGCAATTCCAACTATCTTCCCACTGCACCAGCAGCTTGAGGCAACTGCAGGGCCAGGCTCCTTATCTCACAGCCTTCATCAACAGCCAGGCCCCCAGACAAAACCCATTTGTCAGGGAAGGTGTTTGCTGGAGGGTAGAGGACCCGTTAGGTGAGTGCTGGTAAGAAGGCAGCAGCTTTCCTGGGCTTTTCTAGCCTCGCCCCTATTCAGAATCTTTCTTGAGGGTTCAAACCACGAATTGATGGGAAGATGATACTGCATTTCTATAAGATGAGAGGAGACCTAGCCCTACAATTCATATACAAGGAGAGTGATTCGTCTTTACAAAAAGACACATTACATTCATGAAACAATGAAGCCCGGGGAGGACCAAGTGCCTGGACTCAGGCATTTTACTTTATGCAACAAATGTGCTCTTAGGACATCTGCAGCATCAAATTTGAATGCACCCAATCAGGCTGCAGGCTCACGATGGTTAAGATCCCTCGATCGGGCTCCTCGCACATCTGCTTTCCAGTGTGGAAGCTCACATTTGGCTTCCTCACCTGGCGACCGTCTGCAGAGTTCCTAACAGGCTCACTGGGAACACAGAAATCTTAGTTTATGCAGATTGTCTTATTTCACTGTTTGACAGACAAATGCCTCTTGTAAAGAAAGCCTCACGAAGTTTGGGTCCTTTGAATCTTTTAGCGCCTTACCTACAAATGGATCTAATAATGTTGGATGGCAGACGGCAGGCTTGCAACCAGGCACACAGTCGTTTTTAAAATGATGTAAGGATAGTTTGTATTCACCTGAAAGAGCCTCAGCGCCTTCACCAAGCCGCCAACTTCGTTTTTCAAGGAGAACACAACTGCCGTCTTGCCACTCTCAGCGGCGGCCTCGCCTCTGCTGCTCCCCTGGCTGCCTTTCTTGTCTTCGCTTTTGCCAGAGTTAGCTTTATTTAGCTTCAGGAAGGCACAAGCACAGATACACATGTGTGTATTAGTTAGGATTCCAGAGTCCCCCGTAATTAGAATTTCCTCCCAGATATTCTGTTCATACGCTGGAAGCCCCACCAATCACAAACTCAAGGTGAGGGCGCCATGTCACTCATAACTTTCAATCATGAATATTGGTCTAATTTACTCCGGGACTCTATTTTCCAGGGGTCCTAGATATCGTCTAGTGGCTGATAGTAAAGGAGGATTAGAGTTGCTTCATTTTACTGGCAACAAAAAATCTGACCATCAAAGTATAAGGTATCGTATATAAATAATTCCTACATTTCTAGGTTTATTTTACAACACAAAATTTGACATTTTAGCCTAGTTGAATCATATGGAAACTACATAATGTATTTAAAATATATCCATTTCATTCTGAAACATGTCAGGACAAACCTAGAAATTAATTGATAACCCAACTTTCTGCAATTAGATCCACATTGTCCATGTCGATTGTCAATGTGAATTTACCTGCAGCAGTTCAATACCGAGGAGTGTGTGCAGCTGAGGCCACCTGTGTCAGAGACAATATCTGAAAAATGACTATTAAAATTCAGCTACAAATAAAAGGGGAAAAAAAGGAAGGGAGGGAGGGAGGGAGAAAAGGGGGGCAGGGAAGGCAGGCAGGCAGGCAGGCAGGCAGGAAGGAAGGAAACTGCCCAGCTAATCAGGAGGAATGATCAGTAGAATCTGAGAAACTGGAAGATTAACACTTCATCAGCCACTCAAGATCCTGTAATATGTGATAAAATGAGGACTTTTAGTCCTGTTGGCTAAAGATAAAAATGACAGATTCCAGTAACTGAGCTCACATTGTCAGAAATGCAAAATAAAAAAAGCTGGAAATTTTCTTGTGATAGTGCAAAATTATGATGGCCTGTTTGTGTTCTTTATATGCAAAAGCAGAGTTAGACAAACAGGACTATCTTCCTGACAAATGGTGATGAAATACAATTTCACCAATCTGATTACATTCTCATGAAACTGAAAACTTTAGGTTTGGCGTGGAACCTGGTGAATGGTGATTTACCACTGTCTTCCTCTATTTCTCCATTGGCTTTATTTTCACACATTAGTATTGCCTTGCTTGCTAGACTTATAGATAGTAGAAATGGACAGCTTATTATTTATGACTTGAGGGAGGAAAGTTTAAACAGACATTGGTATTTGACAGTCTGGTTAGTCATTCCAAGTGTCAATGTCTTAGTGCTCTCGACACCTGCCTCTTCCTTGCCCTGGAACACACAGATCTCAGATGTTTAAGCAGCAGTTTCTCTATGAATGGGTCGTACGTAAACCATAACTCCGAGCTTTCTTTGTTTTCCTTCATTAGAACTTCAAAATTCTTCAATGTAATATCTCATCCAAATACTCATGCTATTTAAATGTTAGAAAATCAGTTTGTGTCTTGACCTCACTTTCGCAAATTGACTTAAGTGGTGCTGCCCAGGTTGCTACGCCTACTTCTCAACACTTTCCGCAGTAACGTGTCAGTACGATGCAACCCGGTGGCGGATATTTGGAGCTACAGTATCAGAACAGATTCTTCTATGATACAGACTGAATTAGACTTGGTGGATAAACAGATAGTACAATAAGAAAATACCATTTAATACTTTTAATGACTAGGAACCTGACTACATTTTTGTAGTTTTTAAAACAAGCTTTATTTGTTGTAAATGAATACATTTTAATTTCACTGGTTTTGTTAAATGCTATGACTATTACCTTAAACTGGGATCTAAAACTCTGTGAATTGTTGCCTTTTTATTCTGTAAATATCTTAAACATTAAATATTTATTTAAATATTAAAACAAGTGCATATTACTCTCATTATTCATCAATTAAACTGAAAAAATAATTGAGTAATGTGGAGCACAGGAAAGAGTTTGGGAAGAGCCTGATGGTCCCTTTCCACAACCAGTGTACCTTTAGCCAAGAACAGAAAATAGTAATTCCGTGTCTAAGGACTGGGAGCAGACTGGAGGAGCCGTTGGAGACACAGTGGTTTTCTGGGAATGTGGACATTTGATTTAGATTTCTTCTCTTTCTTTCTCTTCTCTTTCAATAAATGTCCTTTTAGGACTTTATACTTTTTTTTTTTTTTTTGGTTGTTGATTTATGACATTGATTTCTCTGTCTCTCACTGTCTCTCCTTTTTTAAGAGTGCAGTGGTGTCATCATAGCTCACTGCAGTCTCACCCAAACTCATGGGCTCAGCGGAACTTCCTGCCTCAGCTTTCTGGGTAACTGGGACGACAGGCGTGTGGGCCACCTCACCCACGTGTTTTTTTATTTTTTCCTTTT